AAAAACAAACGACTTGGAAACGTCGTACATATTTCCAGGAATGGAATCTGAAACGGCTTGTATTTCTTTCTCCTTCTCCTCCTTTTTTTTCGTCCTTTTTTTTTTCTGCGCAGCAGCAAACTTTCTCATCGGTGTTTAGGTAAAGTACATATAGATGTCGCTTCTGTCAACCAATGAGAAAACGAGATTTCGTCGGAAGGCAGGGATAATTATTACGTCATTTCAATATAACATAGATTATAAACATATTTGTATAATCAATAAAATTGAAAAATATTTTAATATTTTATCTGAATAATTTTGTTCTTTTTTAATACGTGTAAAAGTCATTATTAAATGCGAATTGTAATAAACGCCAGAAATAACGGTTTCCGGTGGCAGCACAATCGATGCTTGTAGCTACGTGACGAAGCTGGCCGTTTGGGCTTGCCATGTCAGTCTAGCTTGAACAGTCGCGGGAGTAAGTCGTTCTACATTTGCTGGGTAACTCGTGGTCCTTTCGAGGACTATCATTTTACTCTAATAGTTTATTTTTTCATAACTCTTTTCTTTTTAATTTTGTTTTGATTCGTAACATTATGTTCAAGCTAGACCCACAGTGTAATCGTTTCGTTCAATATGTTAAAGTTTTTTCTAGCATCCGCGTCTTCCGCGTCTTCCGCGTCTTCCGCGTGGTGCAATTTGGTTTCACTGAAAATCCTGAACGATCGTAAGTCCCCTTTTCATATTTTCTTTCCCTCTGTTTATACGTCTGTAAGGTGAAAATTATGTACGTCGTGAAAGTGACGCCGAACGGGAATGGCCGCCATTTTCTTTGTTCGTTTGACGTAGTCAATACGAACGGAACTTTGGTGGTTATTTCTGATGTGTTACGATCAAGAATATATAATTTGTGCAGCGTTTGGGAATATTCGAATTTTTTTAAATTCGAGGATGTCCGTAGCGTGCAACACCTTACATGACCCGTTTTACACGGTGATTCGACAGACGGATAATCTGTCGTTCCGTAACGGCTAATTTTTAATACGATTCTTTTGAATCGGGCTGGCGGAGATCACGCGTATAAAATTGGTAACCCGTTAGGGAGCTTTGCGATTGTTGATGAGCGGAAGCAAGATAAACATAGTTCCTTTGCAACGCAAAGAAGCGCCGTTTTCTAGCTTTGATTCGTCTGCAAAATTCGCACGTAAATAGTATAGTAACGCAGTTTGTTCCTATCCTATTTACAATTTTACCTACTCCTTTTAAATCCTAGTGACGACGCATCGGGCAAGATGGGCAGTGTAACTAAATTAGCACAACTCCTATTGCTGGAGTTTTAAAATATAGTTTCGCATCGTTCCGTTGTACGTCTGGCCCTTCTTCTAATAAGAAGTTCGCCATTGAGTAACATGTGAATCAGACGATTGCACATTAGAAGCCTACCTATCAGAAATCTAATGAGTCCTACATACTTAGTCTAGGGATCTTTAGGGAATTAGGGGTTCTCTTCTAAGTTTAGCTAGCACTTTATTTATAGGATGTTTAGTTTTAATTAGATTAAGGTAGATTAAAAAGAGGATAGGGGGAGGTTAGCACCTCTACCTCTTTTTCGGGTAGGTCATTTTTGTTTTTAATCACCATTTATTTCAATTGGAGTAAACGGTGGAAATACTGCGATGATGTCTGCCGCAGTTTAGAATTTGCAAAGGAGGGTGGATGGGTCCGTTGGAGTAGGGTGAGTCACCATTTGCAGCAACCTCCTCGTGGTGTGACTTGGGAAATTTGTTTTACTGTTACAAGTAAAACAAATTTGCTAATGGCTGCAATATTCACAATTTCCAATATTTTGACTATGTAAAATAATATTTAAAATAAAAGTTCGTATGTGTAATTTTGTGTACTATTTATTCCCAAGTTAACGTTGTATTATCTTTTCAAATAAATCTAAGTTAAATGTATTTTTACATTGCATAAAAATAAAAATATAAGAAATGTTAGTGTAGTTTGTAAAATTAATAATTTTTTTTCTGACCAAAAAATATTACAGGTTTTGGCATTACGGATCGAGTTCGTTATTGAACATGCGAGATTTCGATAAGGCCGGCCATATTCGTTACCAATATCAGTGATACACATATTAAAACGATTGAACGTAACGAGAAAACACGGAAATAGGATGATAAATAGTAACAGTGAATATGGCGGGTGAACAGGAAAGAAGGAGAGGAAGGGGGGGAGTTGAAAAGAAGAAAAAAGTTACTGAAGTTTGTAATTTCATAATCTTATCGATGACCGACCAATCCGCTGATTGAATTTTAGGATGGGGATATTGAATAATTGCCAATTAGACTGTCTGGGATCAAAATGTACAACAGTTAAGTATTGACTCACATGGTTAGTGGAATGTCGTGCTGTGAAAAATTGGTATGTCGTGTTCTTCTATTTTATGTAACCTAAATGTGTCATGTACAGTTTGCATTTGATTTTTTGTAATAGATGCGTTCAAAGGAATGAATATATATTTGTAGGAATCCGGAAAAAGTGATAGTTGCACGTATTACCAGAACAGAAAATCTCTAGAGATTTCATTGTTCAGCATAACCTCTATAAAGTTCTTGTGATTAAAAAGTATATAGTATGCCGTGTGTTAGTTTCTATTACCAAAGTGATACTTAATTTTTTCCCATTTAAATCAAAACTCGACTGTAGTATTTTCATATTTACAAGTTCAATAATTTACATACTTCTGAGTATTATTCTTTTCAATTCAATAGAACAATCGAACGAAGTACAGAACGGAAAGAATGCATTGGCAGGAATAGGAGAGAAACAATGCACTGACTACAATTCCTTAAATATTTCTATTTATTATAAATCGGTTTTAAATAATATTTATTGGTATATTTATTGGTAATGAAATTATTGATTTAATAAAATATTTAAAATCGAAGTTCAAACTTTTAAACGGTTATATAAATTTTATGAATTAAAACTTCTTTTATCGTTTTGAGGTACAATTTACTTTTGTCTTGTTAAGGCTAGTAACATTATTCATCGATATAAAAAATTACGAATTACACGTTCTTATAGAAATTACTTCGAAAATGATTGTTTAATTATACGAAATAAAAAAGACATACATAAATAATTAGTACTCTTTTCCCATTTTTATAAAACAATAGTATTAATAATTTTGATACTGTAATGTTTCGTATGTGAATTATTCTTTTCTTATATTAGGCTTCGGGATCGTGTTAAATTATTTTTCATCGAAGCTTTGTATAATTCTTTTTTATTAAATCTACGTGATACACAAATTAATTTTGTGATTTTAGAAAATTCAATCGTTACGTCGACGTCAAGATAAATCTGTCCATAAAGATAAAAAGAATTAGGTGATGGTAAAAAGTAGAAATCAAAACGGGTGTGTCAATTTGGTTAATAATGGAAACAACAATGGGTAAGCATCATTTAAACATGATAAAAAGATAGTACTAACATTCTTTAATAATTATTTCTCAGGAATCAGTGACATTTTAATCTAGATAATTTACATGTGTAAAAAAATTCGTCATCGCTTGAGAAATTGCATGTTTAGTCTTAAAATATATTTCATTACAAAACTTGTGCCATTCGAAATATCATTCATTGGTATGTGGTATTTTCTTTAAATATTTGTATTACCTTTGGAAGATAGAGATTTGCATGCAATCGATTGATGCATACACGAACAAAGGATACGAAACGCAGTTGATATGTGAATCGCAGTGACGTCGTGATTATGTCGCGTCAATGCACCGTGAGGTGTATTCGTGATAAAATTTTTAAGAAGATAGTTTTCTTTTATTCTTCGAGGTCTCAAACTTCTAACGATAATATATCATTGATAATGGAATATGAATATTCTGTACATGACTGCACATTTCTCATTTTTTTTTTTTTTTTTTTTCCCCCCTTTTTTTTTATAATTCTTAATATGAGCTGTACAGTTCGTCATATTTGATTTTTTTTTTTTTTTTTTGCTCAAACATGTGATAGGTATTTCAACTTTAACCAAAGTATTTAAAAATTTTCTTAATAAAGATTTAAAAATTTTGTTAAAAAGATCAGATATTGATAACTCGGCCGGTAAGCATACATGTTTAACCTCACTACGCCTTTTAACACCGAAATGACGTTTTTGTAAAAGAATGAATTTGTTTATACTGATTTGATGCTAAATCTGAATCTGTTGTTTTAGTTATAAAGCAGTAGTTGAAATATATAAAGGTAATAAATATATAAGAATAATAAATATTGTTTATTGCATGTGTCAAAATAGAAAATGTATTCCCATTTGTTATTGATGGACGAACATCTGAATCATTCTTACACTTTGTGTAATATATTGTTGATTTTGAAGGATTTAGATAATGTTTTCTGTATAATGATAACTGTAATGTAATAAAATAAAGTAAATTATGATACAAATAAAAGAGTATAAATCGATATAAAACACTTTGCACGAATGTAGCAATTACATTCTTATCGTAGCTGTTCAACGACGCACGTTCGGACTTTGCGCTACTGGTTGTGTAAGCGACCTTTATTCCGGATAGATTCGTAAAGCATCATATGATAACTCTGTCGATAGTGGAATATACCCTTTTTTAATGCACTGTGTTGATTTTAGTAATTAGCTATTTACATGCACATACCTACATTTTTCTTACTATATAAAATTGGTCAATAAAAGCAATAGAATGTGAAGAATTTTGAAGGAAACAGTTGAACGACGCATTGCAGTATTTATTTCTACAGTTTAAACTTTCTACAACGTAAATCGATTATTTTGTAATATTGATTGAAACAGTATCCGTGGTAAGGTAAATTTCTCTTTTATCGAACGTGTCCGTGCCTGTAACAGATTTGGTAAACCGGTACCATCAATTTCTTATTAGAACAATCATGTTACTAATATCTAATACGTATTATAGGTCAGATGTATCATATTTATAATATTCATTGACTTGCAGCAAGAAAGAAACGCAAATATATACTCGTATCTAACCAGTTTATTGCATATCAGAAAGAAATTGAATGCATGAAATGTCCTTGTAAATATTTGCACGAACTTGCGTATAATGACACCGTGATTGTGTACATCATTATTGTAACAATCGAATGTTTATTATTAAATTCGGAATTGTAGAGCATGATACTGCGGTTAAAACGGTTTAATATACGTTTTGTATCAGGAATAAGATAAACAGATGTTGATATTGAAAATATAAGATGTGTTATTTTGTGAAAGATTGTTGATCAAGACGATAAACTTGTAGAGAATATTATTATTGATATAACATGTTAATATATTAACAACAAGGTTAATTACTCATGTGTATGAACAATTTATCTGTTCGCTAATTACAGAAATCATCGATAGTAATATCAGTGGAATGAAATGGTGGATACTTAGATATATACTAATCATAGGATTCAATGTTCGTTCCGTGCATAATTTAGTATTCGGCGAAGTGATTAATACATTTCTTACTCGATAAATTAAAACAGGTATTGTTTTCTATGTAACTTAGTATGTTCTCGACGAGGAAATACAATCGGCGAATACGTTGCGGTTTACTGTCACATAGATTAGCTAGAAACGATTTTTTTCATTCTTAAATTCTGCACGTACAATACGATGACGCTAGTGAAACGTGACGGGATGAACTTCAGACGTCAAAATTCTGTTGCTTCGACTTCCGTAACGAGAAGCTATCGATTTACAAAAACGCGAGGGAAATACAAATAATAGATAACAAGTTCAACGCATAACGATTAATTTGCAATTATCAAAGTGACGTTCTTCGACAACCTATAATCGATTTTAGATCTTCATCTTTACATATGACATATTTTTTGTCAGCTATCGTGTGTTATTTTAAATTTATTTCGTTTTTTTATTAATTTTCTTTGCTGGAATATATTTAAAAAAATTTTAACGTAATGTGTAATTAAATTCGTTTTCGTAATCGCAGGGACCATTAAATATCGTAGCGATATTATTTTTTTATTTCCACAGTGGTTTTAATGCGCGTTAGCATGCTTCCATATACTGCCTTTGCAAAAAATAATAATGAACTTTGTTATTGTTATCGTATCTGTCATAGCTCATTTGTATAATTTTCAACAATTCTTCATATTTAAAAATAAAAGAAACTAAAAGAAACATATTAAAAGATTGATTAACACGATAATGAACAAGGAAAGAGCGATGTAAGTGCAAAATAGCTCGAGACGGGCTAAATAATTGTAGCCCTGGCAACTACTAAAGAAACGATTACAAATAAAAAGCTCGTACACGATCTCGACTTTGATTATATTAACTCTCCATTCTCTCCATCATCCTCTTTTGTTGTGTCCTTAAAAATATAGAGGACGCAAGAAAAAGGGAGTGGGTAAGAGAGGAATGGAAAGAGAAACAGAGTGAGTAAGAGCAACTCTGGAAAGCAACGACGGTCAATGGTGATGGCCGCGGTGCAGCTAAATGGTGGAGTCAGCTAGTCAGTCTCGAGACACCGAGGTTCGAACATCGTCGAGAGAATGTTAAGTTAATTGTCGCCTCGAATTTTATGCTAGTCTCTCGTTATCATTACGGTTGTATAACCCCAAAAAGGTCTGTTATCGTTGTACGTGTAATTATCAATAATACGAATGTGTGCGCTGTTTTTAATTGTTTAAATGACGTTGTCGTGTGTTTCCAAGACGTGGAATATAGAAGTTGAGATGCACTTACGTCTGACTCGAGGATAGAGTCGATGGTTTACGCAGTTGTTACTCCTAAGTCATGATCGTCTCTTTTTGACCGACTTCGCATGCGCCGCCACATCGATAATGTAAGAATGCGCGTTATTTGAAATTCATTTGAGCCCGTGGCGTGTACACCGTTCTTTTTATAATTTTTTATCGCTTTATCGCTTTCAAATCTATCGATGTCATTGCTATCTTGAACCTGGTAACCAAAGTTACGACATTTGAAGAATTACTTAAATTAAGCATATTTCGTCATACTAAATCAGCATAAATAATGTTGGTATCGCTTGCATACTTTTATAGCTGAAAAGGTCAATGGAAAACAATGGACGTCAGTCCCCGAATAAAATGGCCGTGTTTCCATACGAAAATAAATGTTTGAAAATTTAAAGTGAAATTATTGAATTTCAATTCGATGGACAACAACTAATACCTCATATCTTTATACATTACAGAAACATTTATTACGTTTATTTCACTTTAAAGAAAAAATTGCATTTGAATTTGTACACTTCTATCATATACTGTGTAACTTTGTATTAAACAAATGATTTAAACAATATATACAAATAACTTTTCCAGGAGATGAAAGAGTTCGTTTGCATGTTCAATAACAAGAACGTAACGTTACAAAAAGGTGAATTTATTTGAACAAAAGTCAACTGAAGAGGAGAAAACGCTACTTAAATTTCATACGCAAGATAAGAAGTTGCAAAAGTCGCGATACAAAATGAAGCTCGAGGGGAACTCTTCGCGTGAAGATAATACCAGTGAAATTTTATTACAACCTAGAAAAGGTTCGAATACTCGTTTACAAGTTGTACTAGCACAACCTAAAACAATCACACACCTACCAAAAAGACCACCGGTTGATTTGGCGTTCACCGATTTATCATACAGGGTACGAGAAGGCAGCAAAAATAGTAAGTACATTAATTCTTAATTTAGATTTGCATTGTTGCGAAAGCAACTTGCAACGAAGTCAAGTGAAAGAAGTCATTGTACTCACGTTCTATAGCTACTCGAAAAAGGGTCAATAGCCATGTGCATTATACGAGAATAAAGGCTTTTGATGATGCCGTTAAAAGAATTTAAAGAACTTTATCATTCTATTAATTGTTTTTTAATTAAATTTAAATAAATTAAATCTGATTTTTCAAGGAATTCGCTGTAAAGAAAAAGTAAATATTTTCTATGTGAAAGAAACGTGTACCTTAAATAATGTAGTCCATATATTATCGTTTTTGTCTATCCTGTATAGATACATCTTTATCGAGTAAAAATATAGGCGACTAGATAATAGAAAAAGGGAAAAAGAAAAAACTTTCTATGCGATTTATAGAGCGTAGTTAACTAAAAGAAAGGAATTAGTGACCGAGATTTTGTAAGAAGACCGGTTGCGGCATAAGTTTAGTCACGATTTCCAAAGTACAACTTACCACTTGAAAAGAACGTTCGTTTTTGACGCGTTTCTATCTGAAATCGAATCGGTGCAACTTTTACGATGTTTATTTTCCTTTTCTTCCTTTTTACAGAAGACTTTAATAATCAAGTACAAGGAAAAAGAACATAAAGCTGTTACAAGAAGAATAAACGTAATAGAAATACAAACGATTCGAAAAGACGAGTCTTTGTTTCCATTTATCGTTGATTTTTACTCAAACCACTTTACTGTTCCAATTGCAGCAGCTGTGCGATAAAACTCCGTTTCACTGATATGGAATTAACATTTACCTACTAAATATTTTTACGCTTCTCTTTCTTTTCCTTTTTTTTCAAATTTCACCATTCACGATTCAAATATTATTTGTAATGTTATTTACTTAATATACGACTCGATACTTTCAAACGAAAAGTCAAAGTATCTTTTGCGCTACTATTTGAAAAATTTTGTAATCGTACCTCGAACGTAGCATAATTACATTCACAATTACATTCACAATTGCATTCATAATTACATTTTCATTGGACGAATAAAGACGTCTCTCTTAAGCCTAATTAATAATTCACAATCGTACATTGCATTACCTTGTTTGCGTGTCAATGGCCGTTTTCAATAACAGTCTACCAATTATTTCATTGCAACACATGTGCTCCACAAATATGAGGATGGAAGAGTTACACCTTCATATTTTAACAAGTATTTAAAAAATACTGCGCAGTGCAGAGTATCCGTGAATATTCTGGACGACAAAGTGTATTCTTATTATTTTCTTTTTCTACCTTTCTCGTCGGTTCATATATTTTCGTCTACGATACACATCTGAATTAGCATATTTGCTCGAATACAGCGATCAGGGTAATATAGTCGCATACAGAAAGTGAACGTATACCTTACACCAATATTTTTGCAATCCATCTTTTGCGCAACTAAAACTAGCCATTTTGAAGCTCGCGTTCTTCCAATACTCGAAAGATTATCGCGATTATCACAGAAAATATTCCTATCATCGAGTAAATTAATTACCGGTTTGATATAAATTTAAATAACACGATGCTTACGTGTGTAAAGAACCACATAATTTACACGGAATCATCGTTTCCCTTCTTTTTCATCGTTTACAAGAAACGTTTATACGCTAATAAAAAATCACGATCTCGAATATGATAGTCATTCAGATAGTTCCGTCATCTTGAAATGTATTGCATATTGCATGAAAGTATAATGTTCCGATTTTTAATTCTTAGAAACCAATGAGACGAGGCATTGCTACTTTAAAAAACGATTTTGTCGTGCATTTTACTGTGAAGTGAAACTAAATGTATACAGCCAGCGTTTATACAGCCGAGCATAGAAGTTAACTAGAAAGTGCGATGATGTGTTTCGTGATTTATTGCCTAAAATCGGGTTTACATACTGTATTACTATTTTCAGGTGTAAGGTTAAAAAGTACAACATTCAATTTAACAATCGACCGAAATTAAATTCTAATTTTTACTAGATACATAAGAAAACGTGTTACGTATGTAAAAAAAATCCATCGTCATGCAATCGTCGATACGTGTGGTATTCTGTGATATAATAGCAATATCACAATATCAATCCTGATTTATCGTCTTTCATTGCACGGATAATAACGTGTAGTAGTATACAACGATGAATCATAGGTAATCGAAAATATATCACAGATTATTTTGGTTTAAAAACGTGATCGCTTTACAGATAAATCCAACGAGCAGAAATAGTATAATTTCGTTTTAACATTTTTACACGAGAAAATGTGAACCGAAATAAACTCTGCAAGTGACTTATGGAAACGAAAGTCAGCTTTAGCTTTTAAATGATAAAAGAAGATTTATTGTATTGCGATACGGACTATCGAGCAGAAAATGATTCATGCAAAAAATATCTTGCTAATGATTTCCTTTCGTTAGCAATATTTGGCGATAAAAATGTGCATTATATTTGTATGTATTCATGCTCTATAAGGGATAGCCAACCTATGCACCGTGGTTTAACTATTATACAATGTGAACATCAAAACTCGTTTCTAAAAATTGTCGCTGCTTACAAGAAAGTAGTTGCTTAGACGATCTCTCTTTTCCTTATTAACGGTACTTATTTCATTTCCAGATGTAAAGACAATTTTGAAATCGGTCAGTGGAAGGCTACGGTCTGGAGAACTGACTGCTATTATGGGACCTTCCGGTGCAGGAAAGTCTACTCTTTTAAATATCCTGACCGGATACAAGTGAGTCACTGTGTTTATGCGAGTTCTGTAACGTACTCGCTATTCATTGGAAAATCGTTGATCACGTATTCCAATCTTAATTTTATCTGCGAACCGCCTTCTTCCAAGTCCAAATGTCTTCTGAGATGCTTCGCTGATATTTCACGAAGTAACGCGTTTCGTTTTCTTTGGGTGTCCTCAGTTTACTTTCTTCTTGGAATGCGATTTCGCTTTCTTTGTGATTCTCAGTTGTGTAATTCCCCCATAACATCTTTTGAATACGAACACGGTAGACATATTTTCTATACGACATTAATTTTATTCGAAAAGGTGCAAAAACTTAATTTTTGTTGCGACATGTGTTACAAGGATGATGTTAATTAGGATATTATGAAGCCAAACCGGTTCAGTCATCCTTTAGACGAATATGATAGAATTGAATGGTCGAAGATAAAGCAAGATTCATAATACATTATTTATACCCTTGTCTTGCACTGTTTTTTCATTATCTAACGTCATAATACTGTTAATACAACTCTTACGTAAAATTATACTTATCTATAAGAAGTAATCACAAAATGTAACTGAAAGCTTACGAATAATAATCAGATTCCGTTGTCCTTTTTGTTTATGTCATTTTAATGACTGTAAATATCATTTCGTTTCGTTTTCCATTACTAGCGATATTATCCGTCTGTCATGAAAATAGCACGAATGTATGTTTAGGTCAACAGGTGCCGAAGGAAGTGTTACGATGAACGGTCATGAGAGGAACCTTAGTGCCTTCAGAAAATTATCATGCTACATAATGCAAGATAATCAACTTCATGCGAACTTAACCGTAGCCGAAGCCATGATAGTTGCTTCGAATCTTAAACTTGGATCGCATGTTAGCAAGGCAGAAAAAGAAGAAGTGGTACGTTTGTTGAATCTTTTGCTCATAGGGAATAGTAGAGAAAAGTCTTTTTCTAATGCTTTCATTTGAATTTACAAGAGTATTGGAAATGAATAATTTAACTTCTTGATTCCTTTGTTCTTGTTCTTTAGATTCAAGAGATTTTAGAAACACTTGGTTTATCCGAGCACCATCGAACCATGACTTCGAACTTGAGCGGTGGACAGAAAAAGAGGCTTTCTATTGCCCTCGAATTGGTCAACAATCCTCCTATAATGTTCTTTGACGAACCCACTAGGTGAGGAAATTTTATCTCATTTAATATCCTATGCAATATAGTTAAGAAAAGAAAGGAATCTGAATAAAATTTAAGAGATGCCCTTGAAATGTCGATCATCTCGATAGAGAATACGATAGAATACGATATAGAATGGGAATACCTTCACTTTCACCATCACTGGTAGGGAATCCTGTTTGCTATTTATATAACTCTGAATGAAAGCATTGTCAGTGTCAGAACATGATCTTTGAAGATGAATTTTTCTTTAAGAAAAGAAAAAAGAAACTATTAGATTAGTTTATTAATTATTACAATTACTAATTATTAGAACAATAACATTTTTTAAGATTTGTTTTGTACATGTTATTGCCGTTTTTTATGTTTATTTTGTTGATATTTTGACACTGTAAAATGTATTAAAAACTCATCTTAACTTATTATTCGATGCTAATTTTATGGATCAGAAGTGATAGGCTAAAAAAATAAAAATTATGTGTAGAAGTGAAAATGTCATTAAGTGTCAAACTAAAAGGATAAGCTAAGAGAAAGTATACAGCCAACGATCAAGTTTTTGAAACTCTTTACTTTCTCACTTTCACTAAAATCACCCATAGCATTACTTTTTAAATGTCATATACGAGCAACTGTGATGTAATTTTGTTGCTTCTATTTACCGAATTTCTCGAATAACGCATCTATCTTCGCATATGTTGTGTCAAATGTTATAGTAAGTATTTAACTGATGCTTTTAAGAAGATGCATTTAACCGGTTCTTGAAGGTCTACCAGAGCTCTTTTTTTTTTTGTGGCCGGGGGAAACAAGTGACCAATGGAGCAGTTAATTCAAGGTTCACCTGTGCATATAAATGATTCAAAGTTGAATGAAGAGATACAAATTTTTTATGATTCAAATCATTTAATTATCTGTACTTTAATCGAACCGAAAATATTACTTGATTATAAACAACTTATATATTTTATTAACTTACAGTGGTTTGGACTCTTCATCTTGTTTTCAATGCATCTCGCTCTTAAAGACTCTAGCACGAGGAGGAAGAACGATAATTTGTACCATTCATCAACCTAGCGCTAGATTGTTTGAAATGTTCGATAGTTTATATACGTTAGCTGAGGGACAATGTGTGTACCAGGGATCTACATCGCAATTAGTGCCATTCCTCAGAAATATCGGCCTTAACTGCCCAAGTTATCACAATCCGGCCTCTTTCAGTAAGTTACCGATGACATTACCATATTTTTAACCTCTTTAAATATATCACCTTTAAGGTACCAACAATTGCCATTTGATTCTCAGTTATCGAAGTATCCTGCGGAGAGTATGGAGACAATATCAAAAACCTGGTGAATGCTATAAAAAATGGAAAATATGATATTCGCGAAGGATATCCATTCCCTGAAAATAAATCGGAAGCACTTAATAATGTATCTTCTGATTCATTTTCGAAAGGTGAAGACGCTGGAGAAAAAGTCGAAATCAAAGATAAAAATGACATTAGCAATTTAGAGGAGAAGTTTCAAGATGATAAATTAAAGGAAACAAATAATAAACGAATTATTTCATCTTATACGACTAACGATATTGCAAAACAAGGTAAATAGGAAGATTGAAGGAATGAATGAATTAATCAAATTTGTCAGTTACACTTTTTATATAATCATTTTTTCATCACTATGGATTTTATGCAATAGATGTAGTGATACCGATTGATATGGAAAAGAAGGATAACGTAGAAGTTGCCTTACTTGATGACTCGATTATAGTTACTCCAGAGAGGTACCCCACATCGGAATATCAACAGTTTTGGATTGTTTTAAAGCGAACTTTACTTTTCAGTCGAAGAGATTGGGTAAGTTAGTTAATTAAAATTCTATTTAAGATCAATTCTTTATTTCTTTTTTTATCACAGATTTTACAATTCTAAAATTATTTCTTTTTTAGACACTCATGTATCTACGATTGTTTGCTCATATTCTAGTAGGATTATTGATCGGTGCACTTTATTATGACATTGGAAATGATGGTGCTAAGGTACTTAGCAACCTCGGATTTTTATTCTTTAATATGTTATTTCTTATGTATACATCCATGACTATCACAATCTTGTCTTGTAAGTCAGACATATTTTGAATATATTTTTATTTATTTGTTTGTTTCCTATAATTAGTACTTATAAATTTCTTGTTACAGTTCCACTAGAATTGCCGGTGCTATTAAAAGAAAACTTTAATAGATGGTATTCTCTCAAGGCCTACTATTTAGCAATTACTGTATCAGATATACCATTTCAGGTAAGAAAGAAAGGAAAAGAAGTATCTTAACTCTAGCATAAAAATAAATTATTTCTTTTTCCATATTTGAAAGTTTATATATTATATTTTCTTATAGGCGATATTCTGCATTATGTATGTCACAATTGTATACTTTATGACAAGTCAACCAACAGATAGTATGCGATTTAGTATGTTCCTGGGAACGTGTTTACTAATATCTTTTGTCGCACAATCGGTTGGACTTGTGGTTGGGGCAGCAATGAACGTACAGAATGGTGTATTTTTAGCGCCAGTCATGTCTGTACCGTTCCTCTTATTTTCTGGCTTTTTCGTTAGCTTCGACGCTATTCCGGTATATCTTAGATGGATTACTTATCTAAGTTACATTAGGTACGGTTTCGAAGGGACTGCTCTGGCTACGTACTCCTTTGCCCGAGAAAAACTTAAATGTTTCCAGGTATGACGTCTTTTACGTAGCGTTCCTTCTTTTTTTTTTTTATTAAGTTTTATGTAAGTTTAATTATTAGATTGTTTAATATGTTGACATTGGTTTGAACAGTATAATAACATATATTTGACTAAATCTTAATCTTTTGTAAGAACAATCACTTTTTCTTTTTTTTTTTCCTTTTGTCGAAGATTTGAACAAATCAAAATAATTTTGTAAAAATAATAATGTTTGTAAATATTTTATAAATCACAAAAAAGCTTCACTTATTATCAATATTTATAGGTGTACTGCCACTTTAAAAACCCAGAAACAACGTTGGAGGAACTAGACATGCTTGATGCCGATTTCACTCTTGATATTCTTGCCTTGCTTTTGATATTCGTCGTTCTTCGAATTGCTGCCTATTTGTTCCTTCGCTGGAAATTAAAGACTGCACGATAGATCAGTGTACAGTTATTGTCAATTTAACAATGTTAAAGCGTACAACACATTTATACAGAATAAGATGATAATGCATTTTTTAGTGTCGTCGTACAATAGAAATATGCGATTAACAATTTTGTTTTTCTTCGATATCGAAAATGGTTTACGTTAACAATTTCCAGTCGTCGAAGAAATCCCATGAAAGAATGAAATATTACATTTCGTTCATGTTTATCAGTGATGAAGTTATAAGATCTAGAGTAACATAATTTATTCATCTTTTTTAGTTATATGATGACAATTCTATGCTAATTGTTACAACGATAATTATTGTCGTCTTTTGTATCCACCTTATTATATGATACAATAATTTTAAAGAATGCACATGAATACGCACAGTGATCTCATAATGATCGCAACGGTGTGCATTATCAATTGTAACAAGAATAGTTAGAAAAAAGGGTTTTTCATTTGATCTGAGTGCAAATGGAAAATCGATCGAACGATCCCAAAACTTTTCAATTCTATTTTGAAAAGAATAAGAGGCCTTAATTGACAACATTTCGTCAGCGATCATATTATTATCCGCCTATGGCTGTGAGTTTGACGACGCAGAAGAATAATGGAAAACAAATACGATAATGTGTATTTTTAATTCTTACGAGGACTCATAGAGAGGGATATCTTTAATGAAAGATGATGTCTGAAATAGTAATTATCTTGCCACATTTATTGTATATCTCAAATACTAAATTTTGATAATGTGTCATGAGCGTTGTCGCGTATTTGAGAACTTAAGATTTAGAATAAGTATACCGAAGATTTACATTCATTGTAACTTCAACTAATGTAACTTTTGAACATAGTGTATATTTTTTAAGCGACTTTTATAAAAATGTAAATCACATAAAAAAGCACATAGGAATAGAGGACTTTAAAAGCTTTAAAGAAACCATTTTATTATCAATCTTCTTGTAAATTAGTTTTTCGAGTTTTGAAATTGGCTATAAATTATAGTATCGATTGTAAATGCGGAATATGGAATTAAAATTGTAATCTGTCATATGTTACTAATATTTACCGACTTGATAAATGTACTTTAATGAAAAATATATTTGTATCTATTTACACAAAGATGGGAAAAATTATACATATTTATATGTAAAATGTTTACGTGATCAATTCTGATCGCTTCGTATATACTTTTATAAAATATCATGCATGCAGATGCATGTACATATGCTGAATTAGCATAATGTTTGTTGTATTTTATAGCATATGTTTATTACAAATAAAAGTATGTGTTTCATAATAAGACTAGTTTGAATATTTGTCATGTTATTCAAATTTATTTACCATATAACTTTATTATAATTGTAAGTATAATTATTTTCTTTAGAATAATTTATCACTAAAAATTATAAAAAAATTAAAAAATGAAATACTTTGAAAAAAAAAATGATTATAAGAAATAAAATGTCGATCGTAGGAAGAAATTAAATATCATAAATAATACATGTACTAATGATGTCTTAGAAAGCAAAAATGAATTTTAAATTTGTAATTATATTAATTTACCTTAATTTGCAATAGAATATGATAGTCGTCATTTGCTCTACACCTTCAAGCATAAAAAAACTTTATCAAATTTCAAATGGATTATAAATACCGTGAAGCATTACCAACCTGACGATGTTTGAACGAACTCGTCGTATATTTCAGGTTGATAGTGACTCACTCGAGGATGTTTTGAGCCAGGTTGAAAAACAATTTAGGAAACGTAGAGTAAAAATAACCGGAGTACGTTGAGCAGACTAATCGATAATTAATCGATAATCTCTCAATTGTAAATTATTATCGATGATGAAGTGTGAGTGGAGTGGACTTTAATTATCAGCTAGCTTAAAGCCTTAAGTGATTGCCATGGTTCACCCTAATAACATCTCGATTAAACATTTCGATTTATTTGATTCGACACCGAATTAATAATTGAGCTCGTCTCACGTTCGTGCAGTGTTTATACGCATACGTAGCTGGCCGCTATCTGTTGAACATTGACCGGAAACTCCCGACTATTACCGATTTCATTAGTATACATTTTTTATTAAATCACTTAATTATTTACTAATTTTTTTACTTTTATTATAAATTTACTTTATTAATAAAATACAACTTTATTATTAACGACATTAGTTATTTATTAAAAATAAATTCAATAATATGTACATTTTTGCAAATATTTAAATATATTTACGTTTCCATAGTATAAGTTTCTATGGTATATTTATATTAAAATATGTTTATTACGTTTTTGTCACAGATTAATTAATGAGAGGAGTTAGCGAGATCATCGGGGTTAATGAGAATAGTTAGACTGCATATAAAAGTTATATATATATTAAAATGATTATAAGATAGTATTGTAATGTTAATAGTATAGCGATACAAAATTTATATATCGATGAGGTTTTATTCTACGTTTCATAATATTTTATATAATTTTCTTCTAAACTTATACTGATATTTAAATATTGATCATTCGATAGTTCATAAATATTATTTATCTGTTAATTATTTTATAACATTAATAGCATAGTATTAATAGCTTTACATCTATATATACGATCGAATAGAGCTGTTCTTGCCACATGTTTTAATTTTTTATGACAGTTACAGAAAATGACAATTTTTTACATCGTTTTGAGTACCGGTATCGATATTGCAGCTTTTTATGAGAATAAGGCATCCACAAAGGACAATGTTTGGTAAATATTTCTGCATTTTTAATGATCGAAGCATGCACGTAAGTACACGTTACAGACTAAATCGAACCGGAATTAAAGTGGTAAAGTTTGTTACATCAATTATGTCGCAATTACCATACATGTATAGATATATTTATTGCTAATGACAGTTTGTAGTTAAAATATCAAACGAATTATTCGCAAGTATATTTACAAAAACTTTCGTTATTACTTCTTTTTCCCACTGCACTGGAATATAGCTGTGCAGTAAAGTTAACTCAGCAGCTGTGTCAATTTTTTCCATTTTGGCTCGTTATCGCGATGAATAACATATCCCATCATGTACAGAAATGCAGTCATTAAGCATGACTCACATTGGACTTTGCATTTTTAATAGTTTCTTTGTTACATTATGTTGTTATTTACAATATTTTAATTTGTTGGGAAAAAAGGATTCTCTGCTACTAATACGATTACATACAAAATTTATTAACAACGAACGTTCACAGATGTGTAGATGCAGCGTGGGATCGTGTGGTGGCTGCTACCACATCTATATACATATATGCAGCGTTGTTAAGAATAGGGAGCTCGGTAAAGCTATTTCAGCGTCAGTCTTCCACCGCGATCTGCCGCGTGCTGAGCTTCCGATTGTTTCGATATATCCAGTTTCTTCATTTCCAATTTGTAGTGTACCTTTCCCACGAGTTACCTTGTCGCTTCGTTATCGCGTTCTTTCGCGTTATCTTAACTATCACGTGTTCACCAGTCTTCTGCAGCAAATCTGTCACTGTTTTCGATTACTTGTCACCCATGTTTACTCGTTCGCATCGTATTTTAATTGATTGGCTTACTGTGCCGCTTATCTAAACGGACACTCGTATTTAACACTTTAACACTTTCATTAATCTGCGAAGATGCTTTCAAATCGTGTATGAAAAATACGGGAAAATAACGCGGTTCTTCCGATTACACAATTCCATGAACAATAGCCGATTTTTCGAACGAATCGTTTGAAGATGTTATTATAAACTTTCTGACAAGACTTTAATGAGGTAAGTTACATTAATTATGAGAAAGGTATCTTTAATAGCGACACGAATAAAGCATAAATTCTCAGGAGTACGGATTAATCATGTTTACAAAAACGGAGTTGAAGGAAAATCACAGAAACAATGAAACGCACGATGCCTCGGTATCACTGTCACATTTGAAAAAAATGGCTCCCATTGACATCGACTTCAATGATTTAACTTACACGGTACCTTCTGGGAGAAAAGGTACGTTGCTATAAACAGGTATTACCTATTTTCTTACATTTTCATGCAACGAAAGCGATAAAGATACGTATCTATTAAAATTATTTACATCTCTGTCGAGATAATTATTTCGTTCATTCGTTTAATTAAATCGTATTTGTTTCGAAATTTATTTTACGCAAAAGGTTTCATAGTCCATTTTCGTTGCATTCCGTATAAAATACGAATGCGAATGATAGATAAAAGTGTACACGATATTCTGTCATGGATCTTTAATAGTACATTTACGCAAGAAAAATTAATAACAAATAAATTGCAGTTATGAACAAGCTCTAATTGCTAGAAATTTGTCTTTATCTTGAATCATTCCAAGTAAAGCTAATGCAACAGAAGTCGAAGAAATACTCATTTGCATGATTACAGATATCAAAAACGACGTTTAAAAAGTGACTTTGTTACATTATGTTATAATATAGGATTCGAAACGTAAAAATGTATAATCATCGTAATAGTTTTACGATCAGATTTTATGACTGAATTCTATAGACGCGATTATTGCGTGTCACGTCCATAATGGATTCGAATTCTTTAAAGCATTTCAAATTGATTTCACAGATAAGCTATTGAATATTTTCAAATAACAAGTAATTCTCCAAAGGAGTTGTTATACTTGTGAGATAAATCGCAATGTCACGAGATAGAGATAAAATTTGAACAAAGTGGTCTTCGGTCATTCGCACGACAATAAACGTCTGTTTCTGTCCTCCAGTTAGGTTTCCGATTAGAACTTTCTTCATTGTTTAACATAAGGAGAATGTTCGGATAAGGTTCAAAAGAAAGTCGCGTCGATGAATCGGTATTAAGACAAAGACCGGAATAAAAATGGAAGCGTTTCACCCTTTGCAGAAGAAGCAGAAACCGTAGATCAAGTTGGGCGAAGAAATTCGAGTTTTGCGTTTTACTGTACTGAAATCGACATTATTGTATCTGGGTCGATGCCTCAAGAATTACACCGATTATGTGTAATAAAAACATAATGCATGCAATAAATTATAAAACATAGATGCAGGATAATTGCATTCGAATGATACATAAAACGTTATGAAGGAAATATTAATGTTATTCCTACAATGTATAACTCGTTTCCACTAATGTGTTGTATAATTCCTATAATCATCGATGGTGCGCATCTATTTGATTAGGATTAACTACGTCCACTGGCTTACAATATATATCAAAATGTGAGATATATAGAGAATAATAATTAAAGTGGTACAATGAAACTAAATTGGCCAATATAATTATATTTCCATTTAAATAAACGTTAAGAATTTCGTTCGAAGTAATTATCCTTGTTATAAAATAGACGCGTTTGATAAATACACAGCCAAGTTACACGATAAACACGCATGTAAGAGTTACATTAGAATCGACAGTTTATGTAACACGAATTTTTCTAAAACGATGTAGTATCATTTGAATAAGATATTGATAACAGATTTACCAAGTGATCTATTTAACTTTCATGCATTAAGAGATGTCAGAGATATTAAACGTCTAGCATATGCAAATGATACGATTTCCGCGTGAAAAGGCGGCAAGATTATTCAAAGCCTACATACATAATACATATTCGAATATATGTTCGTAGTGTATTTTTACATTTATCATTGAACATAATCAAAATATTTAACAGTGCAAGTTTCATTTATCCGACATCGCGATATCATGTCATCTTCGATAATTTCCCATTGCGTTGCTAAAACGATATGACAGACGTTACAGCATAACAACACGAAGCAATACGCAATAAATTCCATTCGTATGTTGTAGGCACGAAGGTGATATTAAAGGGAATTTGCGGACAATTCAAGTCTGGAGAATTATCTGTGATATTGGGCCCGTCAGGCTCCGGAAAATCCACCTTGTTAAACATCCTCGCGGGATACAAGTAATGTTGCACATAACTAGATCGAAGTACACGTAGCGTAGAACGAATAGATTTAGCAAGTTAGCAAAACAGACAGACGTTGTATTTTTCCTACGTTGTTTATCGTTATCGTTGAGGAACTTCATTCGTGTGTTTCGAACGAAATCAAAAGCAAAGTTTGCCTAAAAGCACGAGAGTCGAGTCAAAGATCATTGACCCCGCGACCTAAGGCGAATAAGCGGAAGCTTCGTCTAAGTCGGAGTTTACACGAATCCTAACATCGACTCGATCGATAAACTAGACTTGCTCGCATACAGTATAGTACCATTGATAACCCTATTTTCTTCATTCTTCCCTTTCCTATTTGCCCCTTTAAAAATCCAAGTATTGCTTTCAGATCGACCGGTAACGTAACGGGACACATAAGTATCGATGGACAGACACAGTTTAAGAAAATGTCTTGTTACATCATGCAAGAAGACCATCTGCAACCGTGGCTCACGGTACAAGAGGCAATGCAATTTGCCGTGGACTTGAAACTCGGAAATGTATCACAGACCGCAAAATTGACCGCTGTAAGCCTCTTTACGTTTAAGACGATACAATATAGAAACGAAAATTGTCAGGCTTCCGGCATTTCAGCCCATCTCTTTTGTACGGTGTCCAAAAAGCGTGGGTTAAAGAAGCGTTTCTCCTCACAGTATGTGAAATTGCGTTCTTGGTAGGGAAGGAATGACCACACTGCTTCAATTTGTATTCTAGTCGCGCGCTCGACGATACTCTGTTATTGGAGAAACACAGAAACATTTTGACATACCGATGCTTCTTAAAAATTCATCAGAACTTACATTAAAATTACGCGCTATCGTTCCACTAGGTCAGTTACTAAATATTTACGTAATTTTAGATAGACGAAATTCTGAACATTTTGCGACTACGTCATGCGAGGAACACAACTACCGAAGGTCTATCGGGTGGCGAAAAGAAGAGACTTTCGATCGCTTTGGAACTTGTAAATAATCCTCCGATTATATTCCTCGACGAACCCACTACGTGAGTAATTACCTCTCGGGAAGAAACAGCGAAATATCGACGAATTTTGGAATTATGCTTTAATTTACTTTAGGGGACTAGATGAAATATCGGCTGCACAGTGCATCGAGCTTTTAAAATTTTTGGCGCGACTAGGAAGAACCGTGATCTGCTCTCTTCATACCCCGAGTGCCAGCATTTTCGCAAAATTCGATCACGTTTACGTTATTGCCGCTGGTCAGTGTTTATACAGAAGCACAGTACATAATCTGGTACCGTTTGTTTGTCAAGTTGGTATAGAATGTCCGAAACATTACAATCCTGCCGATTTTGGTAAGTAAAAAATATGTTCGTTGTAATTGTCAGACAAAATATGTATAATCACGTATGCTTGAATTATCGTTATACATTATCGTTATAGCGATAGAGATATCTGCAGGCGAATATGGTTCAGAGTGGATAAATCGAATGATAAACGCAGTTGACATACAGTTTCCTATCGTCGCTGTTTCTCGGTCAACGAGCTTCGAATTTCAATTAGAAAAGAACGTATCAAAAATATCCTGGCTCGAACAATTTGTCGTTCTATCGAGAAGAATGTTGTTACAGTTGTTTAGAAACAAGGTGAAAAATCTTGAATGAACAGACACGTTTCGTTATAAGAAATGATTCTAAAAGGAACGACTTAATGAATATGTAATGTTTTACAGAATTACTTGTACTTAAAGATAAGTTTACACGTATTTCTTGGCCTTGTCATAGGAGGTTTATTTTTAAATATGGGAAATGACGGATCGAAAACTTTGTTCAACTTCGGCTTCTGTTTTGCTTGCTTGATAGTCTTCCTTTATATACCTATGTTACCGATATTAATGAACTGTAAGAAAATATCAATTATACGTGGAGAGTCGATGATTCTTGAAGTACGTTCATTCGAGAAAAAATAGATCTTTATCTAATGAATAATTAACAAGTACTACTTTGAATCGTAGAATATTCAACTTCTCGTTCGAAATCATTCGAATTATATAAGACTCTCGATTATCCTTTATATTTTTTCAAGTTTCATTACTTTCCTCGTAACTCGAATGTATTTACTTAATTTTTCAATTATAGTCCCCATGGAAGTGAAGCTAATTAAACGAGAATATTTCAACATGTGGTACGACTTAAGCGCTTACTATTGTGCATTTACCGTAGTCAATATACCTGGACAGGTTAGAACATAAAAAAAGTTACATAACAGGGCTATTTTAGTACTACCTATATCAAACTAACGTTCTAATCAAGAAATCAATGTCGCAGGTGTTATTGGCAACGATATATTTATCAATGGTGTATGTGATCACAAATCAGCCTCTGGAGTTCTTTAGATGTGCAATGTTCTTCGGTACTTGTTTCGTGTGCGCGTTTATAGCGGAAAGTATGGCACTAGCTATAGCCAGCACATTGAATATCGTGGTACGTTTCGTAGTCGTTTTATATATTTTTATTCTATTAATCGAACTTTTTATCAATTTCTTCAAACTAGTCGATGGTTATGAATTAACATTTTGAAATTCAAAGCATCATCATTCGCTTAATGTACATTTTAGAACGGTACATTTGTTGGGCCTGCGATTTCTGTCCCCTTAATGTTGGTCTCCGTACAAGGAATGGGTGAAATGGAAGCTTTACCTATCTACCGCAAGTTGATAATGTATTTAAGCTATATTCGATATGGTTTAGAGTGTCTTATAACTGCTTTGTACGGTTACAATAGAGAAAAATTAGACTGCCCGTCAACGGAAATATTCTGCATGTTCGGAGGACCTCGACAAGTTTTACGATTAATGAGTAAGCCTCTTGAAAGTTCATATATCGAAGTTTACAAAATACCGCGTCTGTGCCTAAATGCAATGTTTGAATTCTCATTTCAGAAATGGAACATGTGATATTTTGGGTTGATTTTACCGTCTTGATAATTATTCTCATTTTCTTAAAGATTCTCACCTATTATTTACTTAGGCAGCGGCTTAAGCCGAATAAAATGTTCCAAACGCTTCATCTCGTTGGAGACTTAATAAAGAGTCACTTTAATTTCAACAATTGAAATCTAATCTCAACTTACAATAAGGACGTGCGAAATATTATTTTTGTAAGAGTAATCGATTTGTTACGATCGTTTGCTGGATGTGATAAGAGAACCAAATATTTTAATTTAAATAAGAGAGTTGAACAAATATTTTGCATTTGAATTATACATTTCTTATTAACACGGGAGAAAGTGCACCAATAATTTAAAAAATTACCGAGTACATCTTTTAATAACGCTATTATAAAAACAATAATTAAAAAAATGTAATGAAATAGTCAATTAAATATCTTGATTACCGAAAGAGTAATAAAGATTCTAATTAACAGTAATAAGTATGACTCAATAACTGAATAACTGAAAACCATTGGTAATAATTCAAATCTAAAAGTTACAACAATTACAAATGCAAGTGTATTATCCTATAACATCTTACTATACAGAAATATCGTATAATTCTTGCATTTATATTCATTTCGAATTATGAATGATTAAATTAAATCTACGATATTCGATTAAATTAGAATCTTTTAAACTTCAACTCAGCTATTATAGAGTATTAGTGGCGACGCCTAACCTTGAGAACTCAAACTACAATGGCATTAGAGTTGGATTATGTGTACGTTATGTTATACGTTAGAAGAAATATTAAACAACAAAGACTAATACGTTTAATCTAAAAAAAAATATTTATCTACGTCGATAAAATATTTATGTAGGTTATCAATGTTTATCAAATGTATATAAAATAATATTTAACAGATAAATCGGTATGAAAAGTAGTTACCTGAAGTAATTATAGTTACATAATGATATGTACCAGGTGTCCAAGCATTCAGGTATGAATTTTATTCGCGAAAGAAACATAAGGTTCTAACTAATCATAAAAATACCTGGAACAAAATTTTATATTCTTTCATAGAATAAAAAATCCTTTTTTCTTTCTAAATAAATCAGTTATACGCATCATACGTATCATAAAATAAATAGGTAAAGTAAACATTCTAATAAATAGGGAATTTAGTTGATAAAACTGGAAGGTTAGCACGATTAATCTTTATATTTTTCTCACTTTGCCGTGAAAAGAATTATATAGTAAACAATCTTAAATCAAATATATATGATTTAAGATTACATTTCTTATATTCTACCACTTTATCTATACCCGATGAAGATAATTGCTGATATATATATATATATATATAGATAAAAATGATTCAAATATTTTATCCCTCAGAATGTGTAAATGTTACGGACATAGTTGACCTGTATAAGGTAGAAATGGTAGAGAGACGTTCACAAACGAAAAATACAGCAGAACATTCTGCTTTATAGTCACTTCATAGCCACTGAATGTATACAAATTCAAATATTTTTATTCGCCAAGAACGTCACTACTTCGAACATGATCAAAATAATCGTTAACATTTTATTTTTCATTGTCGTCAATGCCTATAGGTGAGTAAACGTTCTTTGAATATTTGTTATTCTTAATCTATATCGTATAAAAAATTGTTTTCATAGTGATGAAAGCTACAGGAAGGGTACAACAGGATCGAACGACTTCGATGTTTTAATTTTCACTCAACACTGGCCTCAAACAGTTTGTTTTACGTGGAAAGAAAATTCACCATCGCATAAATGTTCGTTACCGAAAGAACACGATGAATGGACAATTCATGGTATTTGGCCTACCAAATACCATGAAATGGGTCCAGAATTTTGCAATAGAACGATGCCGTTCAATTCAACCGCATTGAAACCTTTGGAAGGAGAATTGCAAGAAAAATGGATAGACATAGAATTGGGAAGAACATCTTACTCTTTTTGGCAACACGAATGGGATAAACATGGTACTTGCGCGACAGTATTAGAACAGTTAAACACCGAAGTTAAATATTTTAGAAAAGGTCTCGATTTAATAACAACCTATGATATGAAAAACGTATTAGCAACGGTTAATATTATACCTGGACAAACGTATAAAGTGACGACTATTCTTAATGCCGTGGCACGAGTATTAGGTAAACAAGGAATGGTAACTTGCAAAAAAAATAAGGTATGAACAGGTTCATTTATCATATAATATTAATATTTACTAATCAAGAAATAGTAAATTAAATATAATATTATTTAAAAATTGTTTTAGAACACTAGAATGTCGTATATATTTGAGATACGAATTTGTTTTGATAAGAAGTTACAATTAATCGATTGTGTTGGAGTTCTCGACTACCCTACGGATTGTGGTAATTTTGAAGATGTAATATATCCAAGCAGTGTACCGCAACGATACAGTGTAGTACAAGTATAAGAGACGAGTAAGAAGGAAAAACGTGAAATATTTATTTCAATTAATAGCGTATACCTTTTGATGCTAATTGGAATTGCAGAATCGTCGAATCATGAATAATTATAAACTAGAAATGTCTATATAAAATAGTGCTGAAAGTTTGGTATATTAATTAAAAACAAGAAATGTTCACTCTCTGCTAGAATGAAACAAAAAAATTTTTCATTCTTTCTATCTCTATTATTTCTGGTTGGTGCAAAGTCAAACGTAATATACAAAGTCTCATGGATAATGTGAGAAAGAAGATACGTTATTTACGTTAGTTAGATGATTGGTGGAAGAGATGTAGTCCAACTTATATTTTCATCTTTGTTGATATAATTAGACAGACAGGACACATATCTTCTTTATTTGTCGGAATATCAGCCTGTGCCCCAATCACCATACTCGAACATCGTTTCAAAGTGACGCATAGTATCTGAATATTAATAAAATAGATATATTTTTCTTATCATGATAATAATAGAAATTAGCATTTCTAACAATATTACAGTATTCTCAAGTGTTCGACTTGAAAAAATAATAAAATAATACGAAATAATTATTTTTCTGTTTATTTATTCTTTTGGTACTTAATCATAGTAAAATTTTCGCACAATAAATAATGCAGCTAAATTTATTGAACTTTGTTCTTTTATAAATAGACTCAAGTATTAAAAACTAATTTTCTCATTAAAAGTATTTCGTAATAATCCTTATTTTCTCTCTTCAGCTTTCAATTATGGTATAAATCAAGTTAAAGAAAATATGTATAAGATTATGTTATATACTATAATATTTTCAAATTATAAATCATCATGTTTAGTAACATTTGTTCTATAGTCATAAATGAGTTAAAAATTTGAAACATACTTAATGGTATTTTGAAATGTATATTTTTCTTTTTATTTTTATTAATTACAAATAGAGAATGTTTTAATAGTAAGGGGATGTTTTAAAATGTTGCCTTCTTGTAAACAATTTGTAGAATATTTTAAAAGTCATATTACTGACATGTCATAAGAACTGATATTTATTAAAATCATTCCACTTTCTTCTGAACTATTAAAACCGCAGATGGTGTTAGGCCTAGAAACATAATCATAACAATTAAACTAAATTTTTATGCTTTTAAATATATGATTACAAACAGATCACAATTGCTGATGCAAACTAAAAGATTTATCATGCTAAATATTATGATAGTATCACAGTATACCTAAGGCATTTAGTGGAGCTTCATAATCATCTTCTGTGAAAATTTTCTTTGGAAAATTTGTCATTAAATTAAATGGACCAGGTTCATCTGTCCTATTAATTTCTATAAATAATCTAACAGCAGCCAGCTTTTCTTTACTTCCAAAATTTTGTGTTAATGTTTGTCCATCAGTAAGCCTAATCTAAAACATTAAATACTGCAATGTCATTTAAATATTAAAATTAAATGTACAAACATATAAATATGTTATTTATTACCTGTAATTTTGTATCATTATATTCTTTTCTATAAGTAGAGGATGAAGGTGCAGGAACAGATTCTATTGATACTTTTTCAATATTAGCTTTTGCTCGTCTAGCAGCTTTATCAGCTTCAATTTGTTCTCTAACCTTTTGACGTGCTAATTTTTCTTCTTCTTTCTCACGTTTCCTTTCTTCCAACAACTTTTTCATCTCTAACTCTTCCAATCTACAATTGAAATAGGTAAATAAACATACACTATATTTATTTTTACAAAGAAAAGGTCAAGGCAACTTACTTTCTTCTAGCTTGAGCCATCTCTTTTCCCGATTTTATTCTATTTTTTTCCCTTTCTTGTGCATCCTTCTTTTCTTGTTCTTCTCGTTCTTTATTTTTTTGTTTTAATTTTTCTGTTAGTATCCGTAATTGTTCTTTTTTTTCCTCTTCTGAAAGAGGTTTTTTTTCTTCTGTGCTCTCAGAGAACCTATCATGTCCAGACTTTGTTGCATGGAATTCAACTTCCAAATTAGATTTAAACAATTTTCCACAACTATTGGACAAAGAATTACATGCTGATTAAATGTTAAACAAAGAATTAGAATAAATACTGTATCAATATTGATCTGTATAAAACATTAATATATTTACATATCACATTTCATAGATTTAGCAACTTCAGTAGTAGACACTTGACCACTGGCATCGGCCGTGTTTTCTTGGTCTGGTGTTTGAACGATAGACGACGGTGCACTTTCAGCAATAGATGGTTCAGATGATGGTTCAGCATCATTTGAATGATCCAAGAGCCTAGAATAAAAATTAAGATCGTCATCGGACGATGAGAATGAAGTCACAGCCTTTCTCGTACCATTCCATTGCCGGAACAACTCCTTTATTTCCAGTAATTTCTAAAGCTTTTTCCCTATAACAAAATACATATTAAAAAATAAAGGTTATATTCCACAGTAATTAGAGAATCACTTAAGACTCTTACGCTCTAGATACGCTGAAGCCCATATCGACTAGCATATCTATATAATTCGACGACATTTCACTTTATATTTTCGAAACGTTTAACGAATGTTTTACACTGAAATAGTATTCGACAATCAAGCGATCAAAAACTTAACGTCACGTTCAACCGACGCGCTACCTATACCAATTTATACGTTGTAAAAGCTCACTGGTGGAATTACCTTACCGGAAGTCGTTTACGTCTGAATTTTGAAAATATAATTATGTTTAGAGATAAAAATTTTTCATTTGCGAAAATTCGAAAGAATGTTCTAAAGTATAGATATAATGTACAGGTTTAAAGTTACAAAGAAATATTGTAAAGTGAAGAGTAATGATGTTTTATTTTCACTCTAAATATTGTTTACAGTCAACAAAAACATTCAATACATCATAGTTATCATTTCTTTTCATAGTTCATAAAATATCACTAAGAATTTAATACAGAATCAGAAGGAACAAAACAAAATGAGTATAGTCATAAGAATTAATACTTAAATAATAAATTTTAAGCATAAAATCAAAAACTTATTTTTAGTAATTATGCAATATACTATTACATTAGCTAAATAAGGAATATTATTTAGTAATAAAATAGTAGATTGCTCTGTTAATTAATATGATTTTACAATGTATATTGATGGAATAATGATTGTAATTTGATAGGTTTCATAGATTACGTCGTTTTTGTTTTTTATAGCTCAAGAAACAAAGATGTAGCCCTAAAGTACTGTTAAGTTAGAAAGGTTATTCTAAAGATTATTAATATTCCTGGGATGCTTTGTCTCCCTTTCCAGATCCACCAGTACCAGTTTTCTTCGGCAAAAGCACTGCTTGAATGTTAGGCAGAACACCACCTTGAGCGATTGTTACACCCGAGAGCAATTTATTTAATTCTTCATCATTGCGAATGGCTAATTGTAAATGACGTGGGATTATCCTGGAATAAGAATAGAAGTGTATTTATTCAATAGATCTTTGTTTAAGGTCACTGGCTTAACCACACATACAATACACATACATGAATGTAAACTTTATCTGTCCTAGAAGTCACAGTATACAACCTATATTATTCCCTACCTAAAAGTATCTTATCAAATTGATAAGCAATATGTGCTACTAAACGAAACAATAATTGCAAAATAACAATTGTATTAAGTTTTTATGTCATATTACAGTAAACAATATATTTGAATATAACTGAAACTTAATAAACTGCGATTTTTGATAAAAATAGATTATATAAAGAAAACATTGTATATATAATCTAAATGGAAGAAATAAAACATTTCTATGATATAGACAAAAGAAAAGTACAAACAGGTGAATAAAGATAGAGATAGAATTAGAGAGAGTTAGAGAGAGAAAAAGCGCGCGAGAGAGAGAGGGAGAGGGAGGGGGAGGGAGAGAGAGAGAGAGAGTGAGAGAGAGAGAGAGAGAGAGGGAGAGAGGAAGGGCTTGCTTCACCAACCTCGTCTTCTTGTTGTCTCTTGCGGCGTTCCCGGCTAACTCGAGTACTTCAGCCGCCAAATATTCCATTACAGCGGCCAAATAAACAGGTGCTCCAGCTCCGACTCGTTCCGCATAATTTCCTTTTCTCAAAAGACGATGGATTCTTCCAACAGGGAACTGCAGCCCTGCCCTACTACTGCGGGTCTTCGCCTTTCCCTTAGCTTTTCCTGAAAGAATGCATATAAACGGTTCTCACATTTTCCGACAATCCACAGTTTCATACTTTAGTGAAGTAATTACGATACATACCACCTTTACCACGTCCAGACATTTTTTACAGTATTTTCTTAGAACCTTTCTTAAACACGAGCAACGGAAGCAGCTTCTCCTCCGAATACCAAACAGCGAATGAACCTCTACCCTGCTCGACGACGGTTATGCGTATGTACGTCAGATATTTTGGCGGCGACAGTTAGGTCGGCGCTCATTTGCGCGGGAACGTTATTTCCACCTCAACTATACTTGTGGCGCCCCCAGCATAACATTAAAATCCCTAGATGAAATTGTAAATTATTTCATAATATTATTTTTACAATTCGATAGATCATAATTGATGAGAATAATTATACATTAAATGAAAAGATATTATTTTTTTCTAACTTAAATAGTTTATTTAACGACTATTCGTTAATTTTGGTTTTCTAACATTTATTTTTTCTGTAGCATTCAACGTTATATTACGAATTAATTATACACTCTGCAGAAAATAAGCGCGAGTCAGTACATAGAGGGCAGCAACAATCGAAATAGTAACTAAACTCTGTAATTGCGTGAACGGTTAAAGACACAACTGTAAATTCAAATTTCATAAGTGTTATGAAAATTATGTACGTTACATCTTTTGTTATCTTCCTACAAGATGATACGGCTACAGGTAATTAATGATCGCCGATGGAGAAAATTTTTACCAATCGCGTGGAAAAGGTGAGAATAAAAATACTCAAAGAAGTTCATATTTTCAACAATTTACTCCTAGGCTCTTGTTTTGGCCAGATCAGAGACCAACAAATATTTTGTGGTCTTATTTTGTTATACAATACATAAAAATAATGATATTTACAAATGTAGGATAACGTTAGGCACTCAATGAACAAAACGGTGAAATTATAAATGGATTTCGTATTATACATACTGGAGGTATTACGATGAATAGTTGAACGATACACTCAGAGAGCAGAGTGAGATACAAGTACTAGGATATTAAAATTAACATAGTATAGCGCTGATTTAGTTGAACGAAATGACAAAAGAGAAAATAAAAGAAAAAGAAAATGAAAAAAAAGAAAAAAAAAAGAAACAAAATTTTTGCAACAAAACGAATTTTATTCGCTTTTTAATTTTGTTTTTCAATCCGATTACTGTTCGAACGTGGAATGTTGGAGTTCGGGTAACAAGCATGTTTTTATGTGGAATGTGCTAGCGCGCGATGTCTCACGTTTTAAATTAAGACAAGTTAAATTAAGTCACTTTACCTACGTAAGTACCTCACTGCTGTTGTTACATTAATTTCTCTTGTATTCACTGGCCTTTGCGTTCATTATTGTGAACAGTGGACATCGAAAGGAAAGATCGGTCACTATTCTGATTTCTTGGAATCAGACGTGATTTTCCTGTATTCTACGAATGTCCGTAGACTAGAGTTGCTTCTATCTCGAAACGTGTTTTAAGTTAAAAGTAATCGTTACAGCTTCTACAGTTTCGACCTTTTTTTGTATCCGGATTTATTGTAATGGCAGTGGTAATGGTAGTCTGTGGTTCGTAGTTCGAATATGTTTTAAAATTTTTTCGTTAACACAGAGCCCACATACACTTTCCCCATTTACGGCGCAAAATAAAAATAAAAAAAAAAGTCACAGTCTATATATTGGAGTAACTTTTCGATTATCATTGAACCGATTCGATAAACGTCGCAATTAATTGTCCCCTCTCTTTTACACCAGGTAATATTAATGATCGACTCATATACAAATTGTGACATATCATATTGTTTCAAGTTATTATCTGACATAGAGTCCACATTACGCAGAATAAAATAAGTTATACGATTTGTCTATTTTTCATTAAAATATTATGATACAAATTACAATTATTTATAGTTTAGGGTCTAAGAGCCGTTAGTTGAAACTATAAAATCTTTATTAACCACTTCAGTCGTTCAGCTGCGAAGTGTATTAGTAGGGATAATTTTGTTTTATACAATCGTTCTTACACTGCGTTCTCATACGGTGTGTTGATATGACGATCATCATTTATGAAATATAAAGGTGTGCCTCACGACCATCATAAATGTCGCTTTGATTGCTGCTATTGGAGTTTTGTCTGTAATTCTGTATATAACAACGTCGCGTGGTATGTTTAGTCGCAAAACAATACGAAAGACTCTGCTGTACATTTGGTCAATAAAACATTCCACCGAATCATTCTCGCCTGTTTAAATGTACTGTAAGATTTTATATTTGGTACTGTACGCTAACGACCCTTAACCCTTCGATAATATCACAGATGAATGAGTTTCCGTGTTGTGCGTTACGCATCGCTACCTAAGGTTCCTAACAAGTGCGTTAATCCTTTCAATCTTTTCACTCAGCATTCGCCTCTCCGAATCAAGAGCCGTTCTCGCGGACAAGAGTTCGTATATCCTTCGCTCTAGATGGATAGTTTCGGACCGTAAGTTGTTCGACTGTGCCACCAATTTTGATGTTTCGCTCGTCAAAATTTTCTTTTCCAATGCTTTCTCTGAAAAAAAACAAAAAAGACGGGAAACGAAATGAAAATGAATCGATCTGTAACGGGTAAAGTTCATCTGAATCGCTGTCCAGAGGACAGACATGTTCCAAGATATCTCGTACCTTTGGAATATTCGCTATAAGCGAGCATGATGTCCTCAATGCCGGTCCATTTAGGCCTTTCTTTCTTCCCAACGATGTGATCATCTGCGTTTTCATCCATGATCTTGATATCTACGATCTGGCAATGTTGCTTCATCCCATTCTCACCGGGCATGGGTAAAGCGGGATAACCCATCGAGACGATGTTCGGAACCAAAGGTGGTAGAGGCGGTGGTCGTTCTGGAACCTGTTTCACTTTCACTCTGTCTAGAAGCCTCATCTTTTGCGGTGGTTTAGGTAACGTAGGTGGATTCTTCGAATACGCCTTGGCAATTCTCTCGCAGTACGCAGTCACGGAATTCGAACATCTCCGTTTCTTACGATCTTGCAGAACGTATTGCCACGTTACTTCTGCCTCTGTAATTTCAATAAAAAGTAACCAGTCGATTATAAACCAGTCGATTTGATCGACAGCGGCAGCTCTGGATGGCCGATACAGCGAGGCAATATACAGGCTGGATAGCGGATGGCAAAAGAAAATTTTACGATACTTGCCATCTCTTCTGTTCGGGGGCATTATATCGAGGCCTATGGTCTTGAGAAAACCAACTTTCGGCTCGAAATCTGGCGTGTGAAGCAATACGTCCGGATGTTCCTGCGGTATGGGTAATACGGATTCGACTATTTGTTCCAACTCCAAAGGTACTTCCGGCGGATCTGGATTTAACCTGAACCTCTTCTCCACTTTACAAAGCTCTATTTCTACACGGTGAAAAGAGACGGGAGATTCATAAAGCGTTAACGCGTTGGCCAAAGATGGCGTGAAGAAGGTGGAGAAACAAAAAGAAAAAAAAAAAAAGAAAAAAGAAAAAAAAGGAAAGAAAAGAGAAAAAAAATTAGAAGGAAGCGTAACGATGTTCTTACCGTTCCTCATACTTAAAGTAGTTAGACCGAACATAGCGAGGAATGCGAGCTTCTTCTCGGAATACTGTAACTTGGCCGGTGGACCTTTGATAATCCAGAGATCCATATCCTTGGTTTCTTCGTCGCCTTCCGAATCGGAACTACACCCGAGACCCGTATTCCTTTCCCGTTTCCTTTTCCTTCTCCTCTCGGCTAGATCCAACGAGGATGTTAACTCTTTCGGCTTCTCAGGTACAAGGAAAGACTTTTCGCTCGTAACATCCTGTTTGACTAGAGCCTTGCTCAGGTCAGGCACATTTAACACCGCTGGTTCGCACTTCACGGAAATCTCAGTCAAATTATTGCACTTGTCGGTGAAACAAAATGCGGTTTTCAGCTCGTTCGAGAAATTTAACAGTTTCTCTTGATATTTTGGTATCTGCAGGAGAACGTTGGATACGTTCTGACAGGTACGCAAAACTTCCTCAGACTTGATGCTCTGCATCAGCTGAGTCGTATCTATAGGCTTCTGTGCGATGTCGTTTATGCTGAACTTAAAATTGGGTTGAAACGATAATGTGGACAAAACGTTGTTCTGATCGTTCTGTATCTTAGACTCTACTTCAGGTTTAATCTCCTTCTCGGCGAGATTAAAGTTCATAGGTTGAAAAGCGGGAGGACCCTTTCCTTGTTGCTGCTGTTGTTGCTGCTGCTGCTGCTGTTGTTGTTGTTGTTGTTGTTCGTACGTCACGTGGGGAGTCAACGGCTTGTCTTGATGCGAATTCTTTGCCAAATGATTCTGATTCGTCGTTGACTGTTTCGCGTGTTTCTCGATCTTCTCGTTGTACGAATTTACTTTACTCTCCTTCGTCGGTGTATCCGCGTTGTTTTTCTGATGCGAATTCGCGTGATTCGCCATCTTGGTCCCATTGGCTGGGCCAAGATTGTTTCCGTTATAATTTGCATTTGCCACCGTTTTCTCGCCGGAAACGCAGTTGACGAGGTTCGGCGTGGTCGACGGCGGCGACGACGATGCCGACGACGAGGACGAGGACGAGGACGAGGACGAGGAGGAGATTTCGTTTCGTTGGCCCGTTGTCGGGGTGACCGTTTGACTGTTCTCGTTGCCGTGATGCATGCTCTGCTGCTTGGTGGAATTCGAACTGGTCACGGCTGTCACGCTGTTACTCGTGCTACCACCGCTACTGGTGGTTAGCGCCTGTACGTTGACCTTGGTTTGCGAGTGATGCTGATGCGGAGACGAAGACGAGAAATGCGGTGGTTTGTACAAACTAGCTACATGCGAGACGGGTATGTGAGGATGATGAAATTGTTGAGGTGGATAGGGAATCGGATGGGAGAGGGATTGCTGAAGATTCGTGTTCTTCGCGTTATCCGGAACGGAATTGTCGACTATCATCTGTCCGGCGATGGTTTGCGACGTAGTGGTGGTCGCGGTGGATTTTATCGGCGATTCCGGATAAGCGAGTTGATTCGCTATACTATGATTATGACTGTTCACGATAGGTCTTTGTTGAGGTTTCGACGAGGAACGAAAGGAATCCTCGAACGGTCTAACGAAAGCCGGTTGCGAGGTGGCCAACGAGGTGCTGCTCGTGGTGGTAACCGTGGTGACGGTGGTACTACTGGTGCTCGTGCTCGAAACGTTCGCCGTCGTACTGGTCGCGCTCGTTCCGGTATCTTTGCTTCTCGAGCTATGAATACCGTGAGACGACAACGGTGGCGATTTGTGAGTCAACAAAGTGGTCATATGATTGACGCTATTCATAGTCGAGGGAACCGCGTTAGCTGTCGTTAGAGTGTGTGTTCCGTGCGTTGTCATAGTGCCGCTGCTAGACAAGCTACTGCTCGTCGTTGTACCGATCGCGCTATTGCTGCGCGGTTGATGTTGCGATTGTTGCGACGGTGCCGATGGTGGTGGTAGCGGCTGTGCTTGCGGCGTCTGTTGCACTTGTTGTTGTTGCTGCTGCTGCTGCTGCTGCTGTTGTTGCTGTTGCTGATGGTATATAGAAGTTGTAACCGTAGTTGTCGCGCTGCTAATTATCGTAGCTGTATGCTGACTAGAATGAATGGTAGTCGAGGATACGGGGGGTAAATGGAGAGAAGGTATAGAAATGATAGGCGCCAAAGGCATGCTTAGCGCGGAAGGTGGCGGCGGCGGCGGCGGTGGCGGTCCTATTACCGCTGGTGTCAAGGATGACATAGAGGGTATAGAGGGGATGGGCGGAGGGCCGCCGATAGGCGCTGAGCTTATAGCTGGCGGAGGTCCAAGGTTTAGAGGGGGCAAAGTAGAAGCCAGAGGAGGCGGCATAGCCGCGGAACTGACGGAACAGATAGTAGCCGAACCCAAGGTCGGTGGTCCAATGGGAGCCGTTGGATTGGGGAATGTTGGCAAACGAGAGTGGTAGATGTTGGCTGTTGCTGTTGGATCCGACGACGGTGGTTGCGGTGGTGGTGGTGCTGCTGTTGGCGGAGGTGGTGGAGCGGAAGACTGTTCTTCTTTTCTCGACTGATGATGACTGTTACTGACAGATCCAACGTTACCATTACCGTTGTTGGCGTTGCCGGTGTTGCTGTTGTTATTACCACTGCCACTACTGCTCCCGCTCGGCCGATCTCTGTTCTCGCGTTCTCGTTCCCGGTCGCTATGCATCTGAGCCGCTATGGTCGGCTTCCTAGCTGGAACAAATCCCGAACACAGTGCTTGGTAATCTTCCACTGATCTACTGCTGTGTGGACTTAGTATTTAGTAGAGAGTACACGGGTCGTTTACGGCGATACACGGACAGAGAGTGTCGTTGATTCGACGCGACGAAACGTTTTCGCGACGCATTCAACTCTTTCCTTTTCATCTTCGCATCGGTGTCTATGTACGTGTGTGTGTGTGTGTGTGCGCGCGTGAGTGCGCGTGTGTCTTTCTACCAACGGATTTGTTCGCGAGGAGAAGCGTTCTTCGAAAGTGGTATCATGTTCTCGTTTCGCTCTAAAGCGGTACTTTCCCATACATCCCATACAGCTGTTTTTTCCATCCAAGTACAATTACGATGGCAGCATCTTTCGAGGAATCGAACATACGTATATCCTGCGAACGAGCTAGCGCGTGGTTCGGTACGAAGGTGACAGGTCGCTAGGAACAGCAGGGAAGAATCGTCGGAGACGACGATTGTGTTCGTCTGTTTCAACTTACCTGCGCGATCCATAGGTCTCTGTCGTTATCAGCAATAGCTTGATATATTCAACTCGAAGTATTGGGGATGATTGCCAATAGAACTTCAATAAAAATCGGATAACGCACGGTATCGAGTAAAAAGAAACGTTTCGGTCGCTATTGGGACGCTCGCGGACAACGCTGTATTTGTATCGTACAGAGCGTAGGAAATTGCTATTTGCCATTTTAAGCTATCGAGATCGTTGAATCTTCCCCAAAACTGTTTCAGAAAATGAATCGAGGGTCAAGAATTCCAAGTCAATCAGAATTTTGATCACGTTTTTTTGCAATGTTTATTTTCAATTATAGTCCAAATATACATGTTTACATAATAAATTATATAAAAACGGTATAATTTTGATAAAAGAACATGTGTGACAAAGTTATATACATCGG